GWGATTAATAATCTTCTAAAGACCTGTTGAATAGCAGGGAAACAAKTAAAACATGCTGGATAGGGATACTTGAGGACCAGGATTGGGAACGACTGGTTACAGCTTTGTTTGGTATCAGGTTTTGAACATTAACATTCCACRTGTAATCTTCTGGCTAAGATCCTGAAGCCCCATGCACGTATATTGYTGATACAGGATTTTGCCATTTATTCCTGAAGAATTTATATAACTAATRTTTGCATAACGTTTTGATGAGTAGATAGCAGCCTCAGTTCATTCCAGTTATATTTCTGCTATCTTTCGGACTAGGGCTTTTGCAAATTTAGCATCATCGCGATAACTGTCTGTGCAATAGGCATATCACAAAGARCTTTATAAACTGYAGTAAATGKTTGGCTCAAATGTTTGCATTTATGCATTTGGTCAGCATCAGTCCGATAAACAAAATGGACCTGAGATACCACATGAACTCATAACCACTTGGTCAGTGGAGAAAATTTTGGACAACTGACAGAATTTGCAGTTGAATTTAGGTTAACATTTATTTATAATTATKTAATCATGACACCTGACAGAACCTGATAGTTTCAGTTATAAAAAAATGTTATCGGCCAAATTTGGAATCATCAGACTTTTTAAAAGATTGTGATTGACCAGAAAACTGAAAGCAGTTCACCCCTAGACATAACAGAACTGGTGGAAATTATTTTGTGTGTTGTAAGGATGCTATTAAAAACTGTATCTACAGGTGAAAATGTGTGTGATAGCTGCTCATAACTAGAAAATTATAAAATCTAACCTCGAAATGGGTTTTAGTTTTACCAAGTGGAATAACTATAAATTCCTGTAACATGAAGCTTCCTGGAAAATCATGAAATTATAAATCAGAAGATTTTCTAGCCTGGTTAAAACCAGACCCAGTCTTCACTTTGCTTAGTACAAGGGTCTGGACTTACTGCATAGAGAATCGTTTCTTGCAGGAGGCGTGGCCTCTGCTGAAGCAYGTGTGTTGTCGCTGTGAAGGAGGCTAAGCTAAGAAGCTAACCGGAAATCGCGTGTGCTGTAAACAACCCTACTGAGAGGAGAAAAGTACTGAGACGAACGAGAGGACTGTAAATGAGAGCTGCTGCTTTGTCAGACAAATTTATTTTAATTTGGAAGCCTTATCAACACAGACTGGCTTCATTTACTTCCTCCACTGCCGTATGCTAAAATAACCATAGAAATGAATATGAATAAAACCATAAAACCATAGAAATGAATGAATGTCTATGAAAATAACTAACAGACACTGCTCAGAACATCAACGTCATTCAAAAACTCCACCTTCTGTTTGCTGATTGGCCCAGGTAAAATAAACTACAAGAGACACKGCGCAGAAAATTGACGTTCTSTTCTCTGATTGGTCCGGCTAAAAATCTGCCATCGAAATCCTTGTCTATGGGAGAAGTCCCAGACGGAGCAGWGAAGGGAAACTAGAATTGAGCGGAGCTGTGTAGGAAGGCAAGGGCCAGGCTAAAGATTTTTTTACTTTATTGTAAATGGATGTAAAGTTAACACTATCACTGCTGAAATGTATCACTATGATAATTTAGTTCTGTATTCTTATTCTTGTACTCATCATGGATTTAAAATTCCTTAAAAAGAAAACAGACCTTCATGTATCCATTTTACCTTTTGACAGACCTGTTTTCCTGGCTCCTGTAGACACCTCCTATAAGTCTGTTTAGGCTTGTTTTGTGAACTTGCATAGTAATGTCTAAATGTATCTAATCCACTTACAGAGCCATGTTCATTAAACTGAGATCTAGAGAGACTTGTTCTGCTAATGTGCACTACAAATCAAGACTTTAAGCTAGCTGCAGCTTTATAAACTTGAATCACTTCAGTCTAAGGAAATTTACTTGGTGCGATTTGATTATTTCATTCAGCGTTACACATTTATATCCAGCACAATAAAATATGTCCTGTCAAACTGGATTATTGTATTGTTGGATGTGAAAATGTTTCTGTCTTGGGTAAGAGGCAAGAGCTAGCCTGTAGAAAGGGCAAGGAGTAGTTAAACATTTTTCATGCGGTATGTGTGCTTATGAGAACTTGTCAGGCTGATAAATGTCTCGGGAGATGTCAGGGAGGGGAAATGATTTCTCCCAGGAAAATGAAATGGTCTCTTCTATTACTCATCGTGAATGGCAAGGCAATGGATAATAATTGTGCTCAAATGGTTCAGTTATTTATTTGACCCTCAGGACAATGTTTCTTCTGGAAAGTATTGTTTCAGTTTTCAACATTTACAGGCAACACAGGATGTCCCTTTTAATATCTGTCCAGAGAAATGTGCCATTTTGTGTGTCACTAAAGGTTCTTGTTTAACCAGTGTTGAATAAAGTATCACAAAGTGATACTTGAGTACAAAAGTATGAGTATCTTACCAAGAAATTACTTTGGTAAAAGTTGGTCTCCTTTAGGAATATTACTTGAGTAAAGGTCTTAAGTATGATATTTTTGTACTTAAGTATTAAAAGTAAAAGTATTGGTATAAAATAAGCAGTTAGATTTTCTGTAATGACATTTATTAGGAGGTGACCTCACCAAATCCAGAAATGACTATATTGTATTAAAATAATAAATTTATGTTAAATTTAGGATGCACTAGTCCAGCTGTTTCAGTTTATATACATATATCAAGGCTGTTCAAACCTTTTCCCCRAAATGAAAATCTATCCAAGGGCTGCAGCCAAATGCAATAATATAATTCATGAAATACAAATACTTCTTAAGTACAATCCTTTTATTTTAATGTTTATGTCCTACTGGAGTGTGACATGATTTGTTTGTGTACAAACTAATACGGTATCAGAGTTTTATATATTTATACTTCTCATTCAAGCACAATTCACTATATCTAGTAGGAGGCACAATTTATATGGATAGTATTTATTTTTTACAATAACAAGCTGAAATGAAAACAAGCAAAAATGAGATGAAAGTAACAAGTTTTTACTTCTTGCCTTTTTTTAAAAATGTAAGGAGTAGAAAGTAAAGAAAATTGTGTGAAAATGTAAGGAGTAAAAGTAAAAAGTAGGCTGAGAAATAAGTAAAGTACAGGTACCCAAAAATTCTACTTAAGCACAGCAACAAAGTATTTGTACTRAGTTACAACTCTGTGTTTAACATCAGACATTTCAGAGAAATTATCCTGTGTATGTTTCTTTTTTCATAAATTCTAACTTTATCAGGGAGACAAGGGTTCTTTAGCTCTCTTTATTTTAGTTTTTGTGTCTGTTGTTTCATCTTCTCTTACTTTTGTCTCTCAGCATGCCAGTCACGCTTTACACCAAGTATCATTTGGTTGTCAGAGCCGTTCTGGACACTGAGCTATCAGGTGACTCAASAGAAAGGCACGATCCAACAGGGCCACAGTGCTGGATCTTTATCCTACATTTGAGCAGCGATGTGAGCATGCTGATAAACATACCCAGCTGGGTGTTTCCAGCTGCATACCTCCCTCTGGGACTATTATATGACAGTGTTTTGATGTTTTTCCTCAGTTTCTCAATAATCTGTTTGTTCCCAGCAGCGTCATGCTAGCATCGGGCCTCTGCTTTCTCCTCCTGTTTCAAGCATRCCGGCCTGGATCTTGGAGGGGGGATTTTGCCTGCTTAGCTAGGGTTTACATCTTTTAATTTCAAGGCTTGCTTAACATACTTCAGCCCGTGAGCTCCTGTTCACCAGACTAGAGGGGCTTAGTTAACAGGCATAAGAACATTTTGTTGGATATATCCAGTGATCTCCCATGGGGCACAGTGTTTCCTGGATGTTTGTCCTTTATGCTTGCRAGATCAAGCTAATGGGCAAGATTTTATACTGACAGAAATCAATGAGGCTTTTGTGATTTTCATGAAGTTGTTAATGTGATGATCTAAGAAAGATAGCTTGCATATTTAGCTGAATTGTAAGGTTTTTTTTTTGTATCATAACTTGTCGTACAAAATGCAGTTTTATATTATCAAATACTGTAATAATCAGTCCCCCCCCTCATTATCTACCTTTCATATTTTGGTTTTACTTCTTTTAGTGATGGACACACAGGGAGTCTTTGCAGCCCTGTACAGCGTGTGTGAAGAAAATGCTGCTTTCTTCTCGGGTGGAGCCAAGGGGTCACAGAGTGATGCAGCCCGACGGCTGGTCGACACCACGAAACTGATCCAGGAGCACGCTCGCAGTCTGGAGCCRGTTATTTCAGGCTTTGCTGCTGTTTACCATCATTTTGATTTTGACCCACACATACCTGCTAATGGCTATCGCTCACTGGTCAAGGTAAGCCCCGAAAAGTCCTTTTGTCTGCTCGAGTCAAATCCTTACTTTGTGCTTCTCACTTCAACCTTGGTGCAGCTCTGAGAGCGAAAAGCCTCAAAGTCTGCATTGCATGCTTAACAATCCTCCATCTCCTGGTGAGAAACTACTCTCCGACACTCTTTGACTTGGTATTGCTTTGTTTCAAGGGCAGTACATTTGTTGCAAAGATTGATTTTATGTTGCGAATTTGGCAAGATAAATCCTCCCAATGCAGTCTTCCTCACCGCTACTGTATCAGCTGTTCTTTCTCTCGGACAGTTATCGATGAAACATCATGACCTTCAGTTGGTGCAGATCACCACAGCTGAATGTGTCTGCCAGCAAATAAAAACCTTTATTTTTAAGCTCCTTGATTTATGCATTTATAATCTTTTTTCAACGCTGCAGTACTATTACCACCGCTCCGTAACACCCTGGTGAAGCAGCAAGTTTTTTTTCTTTTAATGCTCTCATTTTGGCTCGCTGTCACGCATCATAATATTCTTGCAAGCTTATTACGCTAATCGAAATTACAACTTAAGCACACCCAGAGGACATGTTTCTTTAATGAGGGCACAGAATTATGAGTTGCTGTGTTGTAACTTTGAATGGATGCATCTTTTTTTTTCACCGTTCCAGGAAATGGCATTTTATGCAAGTTGTATATTTTTATTTCCTGATAACAGAATTAATCTCACTTGTTTGTGATAATGTTTTAATAAAGCTTTCTCATTTGGTTAAAAAYGTTATTTGAAATGTGCGTTTTTAAGTTATACAGATATTTCTTTTTTTTKTTTGTTTGTTTTTGTTTTCTAGGTCGTACGTTGTTGCCTTCTCCATATCATCCACAAGGGGCGCTACATCACGGCTAACCGGCGCAGCATCTTTTTCCGAGTTGCACACAATGCGGGGGAGATGGAAGCCTACTGCAATGCTCTGTGCCAGCTGCGTGCCCTGCTGTACCTGGCTCAGCGCATGCTGCATGACAACAGCCAAGGCAACCTGTTTGTCCAGGATGAAAGTGGACTCAGTGAGAGTTTTGTCCGTGAATATGCGTCGATGCATAAAGCGTGCTTCTATGGCCGCTGCCTTGGCTTTCAGGTGAGTTGAGGTTCACCRCAGTAGAATAAGAATGAGGAATGGGAAGGGTAAGATTTCCTTCCCTTTACGTTAAAGAAGGAACCCAGTGGAAGTCGCAAAAAATGTAGAACTATTCAGAACAAGACTCATTCGATTTGAACAATTGCATCATTGAACTTTTATTTTGAGTATATTTCTTGTTTCTGTCAAAGTTCTAGAATTTGTTTTTGCTCCCTCCAGTTCACTCCAGCTATTCGACCATCTCTCCAGACGATCGCTATCGGCCTTGTGGCCTTTGGAGAAAACTACAAGCGCCATCAGTCAGGAATAGGAATAGGTCAGCATCACCTCATTTCCAGCTGCACCCTCTCATCATCCAGTCACATCATTCTCATTCACGGACCGTACTCCTTCATCCACACGTCCCCTCCCCATTCCTCCTTGGCCCCTGACTATGTACCTTTTTGATGTTGTGTGTTTTGGATCGTAGATGCTCTTTCATCCTTTGCAATCTCAAGGGCTGGCTGCTGTGTTTCTTGCATATTTCAGAGTGTTTTGAACACGCACACACAGTTAAGTGTAGGACTGGAGAAAGAAAAAGATGCGCTATCATGTACACGGTTTACAGAGTTGTGCTGCACACACTGATGTAAATATTTTACGTTTTGGTGAAAAAAAAAAAACAACAAAAAAAAAACAAAGTTCTCCCACTCTGATGCTGTCTTATGCTCTGTGCTGCGCCACAGTGGATGCAGGAGGCATTGCACCTTATGGTGAGTGTATCAGAACTTCTTCATTTCAGTCCTCTGTAGTGAAAATAAAGGCATTTCAAGTACAGAAATTTGGTCAGACCACACTTCCAGGTATACTAAATGATTTCAGACTGTAAGTTGCATTAGATGTATCTGTAGTTTAATTTGCACGTTTAAGTCTTGATAGATTCAGGTAATCAAAATGTCTAATTTCTCATTTTATTTACTGCCGACATTCTAGAATAGTGAGCACAATAAAAGCAGAAAACATTTGTTATACACTCTAGCTACTCTGGTCTTCCTTGACAGTATTACTTAATGTTGAAGATCATTCTTGTAACAATAAAGATAAAAACAACAACCAGCTGACCCCCTGTCAGGGTTACAGACTTTTCAGTCTAATCCTTTTTTGTTTGCTGTGATAAGTTTACAGCCATGTTTTCTTTCATTGTTTTGCTGTTCTTATTTTTCTCTGAGTTTTTCCTTTTAGTTCCCCTTCCTTATCCTTCGTTCCTTTAACTACGCATGTCCGTTGACTTTGTGAAGTATCTTCATTTGTTAGCATGCTGTTGCTGTTAAATTTTCTTCAGATTTCAGCCGCCTGATATTCATCACATGTTTCTCTTATCTTCAATCTATACTTTGCTTTCTTTCATTATTATGTTTTCATTCCCCAGAGCCTGCTGTGAGCTCCACATTATACACCCTCATTAAAATCTACCCTGCTCCCTCTCCCAGGTGTGGCAGCCAGCTCTTTCTTCACCTCAGGGAAGTATGCCATCGACCCAGAGTTGAGAGGGGCAGAGTTTGAACGCATCACSCAAAACCTGGACGTCCATTTCTGGAAGAACTTCTGGAACATCACYGAGACTGAAGTTCTGTCGGTGAGTAAAAGCGGAAAGCAAAGAATTGCTCTGACATTTGTGATTCATTTGTGGGCATGGGTAATTAAAATTAGACTGGACCTTTTAGGCTACAAGAAATGGAGTGAGTTTCAGTGTATCTACTGAGGTTCATGAGTTATTCATTCAGTTTCTCTTTCTCTCCATTGACCTAATTCMTTCTTAAGCTTGCTTTCTCTCTCTCTTTTTTTTTTTCTTTTAATAATCATATTTTCTCTCTTTTCTTGCAGAGTCTTGCCAGCATGACATCTACTCAGGTTAAGGTGAACCGAGCTYTTTCAGTTCCTGCTGTGTCCTTCGACCTTCCACAGGCAGCCAATCACGGAGCCTCTGTGACTATAGCTCCGCCCTCAGCGCACATCGGCCCTGCTCCCGTTCAGATGAGACTTATCTCTTATGATCTGCGTGAAGGGCAGGTAAAAAAATATTTATGCTAAACTTGAGTACCAGCTTTTTATGTGAGATGTTTGTGTTTAGTTGCTATTTGTACTTCGAACTATTTTTAGTTTTTCATTTCCTTAGGTTATTGCTAAGCCACCTTGTCAGTCATCATTTTTAATAATGTTCTTATAATAATATATTTGCCTTTTAGTTTACAACTCATACGTACATTAATACTTTCTTATGTGAGCCCAACATGATCAATAACCATGAAAATGATTTTTCTTAGATATGTTTCCTTTTCTTTATTTTCTCTTCCTGAGTTAMTTTTTAATTCTCTGATTCTTCTGTCATCCTCTCCAGGACAGTGAAACGCTGCTGTCTCTGTGCCGCTCTGAGGGGGGTGCCATTTCTCTATCGCTGGGACTGAAGACCAAATGCCTTCCTTCTTCTCCATGCCTCCTCATCCACTTCCATGGCGGAGGCTTTGTGGCTCAGACTTCCAAGTCGCATGAGGTGAAAAGATATTTCTCTATAGATTATAGCTCAGTTTCCCAAATATTTTCTTCAGCTACATTTAAAAAAGCAAAGAAGTTATTCAGAACTATATTCAACCATTAGAAAATACTAAACAAGTAATATAGTTATATTATCAAATACTTTATTGTGCGTTACAAAGTGATAATATACTAGAAGTAGTTATAATAATTATAATGACGCAGAGAGGTAAAATGCTGAAAATTAGTATGTAATATTTTATGTGGCAGCTTTGTATAAGAGTATCTTATAATTCCATACCTGGCTCTGCTGGACTAAAATCTGTTTTATTAAATCAGTCATCCAGCTTAATTCACCTTTGTATTCCTTCAATAATGTTTACTCAAACTAATTGTAATTGAGTCCCCAATAATTAAAGAGACAGACACAATCTGACAGCAGAGGGGCACRTAGGTTACCCATCTGTCTTTTCTCCTCTGTAGTGTGGCATGTAATAAGCTGTTAAGTTAATTATTTTTGTAATTATCCCTTGAAACGTTAATAGAGACACAACGACTACCATCCATGCCAAGCTGCCCCTTGTCTATCAGCTATATTTCTGCAWCCTGTCATTGATTTCATCTTAGATGCTCTACTTTTTGTGCTGAAAACRGATCTAGGAATTCGATTTAATTTCTTCATGACTTAAGAAAAAATGAATGTTACAATTTATGAACTTTGAAGATGATGAGCATACTTACTTAGTTATTTTTAATAAGAGAGATTCTATCTTTTARCAGTATTTTATCCCTGCTCCTTGTTTGTTCTCTGCCGATGTAGCCATTCGCAGTTGTTTGCAAGCTTCAGCTACTTGCAGCTCTTTCAAGACGTGGCTCTGTGAAATTGCAGAGGACATGGCCGTCCTTGATCTGCAGCTGCATAGTAACATGAGGATGAGAGGGAGCAATCATAGGGTGAGGGAGGCTGTCAGGTTGAATTAAGAGAATTGCACAACCTCACGGAGAAACACCACCTCAGGCACTAAATGGAAGACTTGTCAGACTCTCTTCTCTTTTTCTTGCCTTTTTTTTCTTTCTTAGGTTACCTCACAGTCTTGCCAGCGCTCCACAGCTTTTTTTTTTGTTTAGTGTTTATTTTCCACATATTGGCACTGCTCACTTGCTGCCTCGTATTTTTTTTCTGCAGCCTTCTGCTGTGTGAATTCCTAATGAAAGGACATTTAACAGAGAACAGAAAAGTCCCAAGTTCCTCTGTTAAAAATCAATGTTATTCCTTGTATCCGTCCCATGATACGGTCTCTTCCGCTCCTTAGCAAAATCGAGTTTGACCTGAGCTGCTGGAGCCTATAGTTCTCATTGCACAGTGAAGCTGTGATCAAAAATGGATGTAATAACATCTATGAATTTAGCAGCTGGGGCAGAGTCTCGAGTGTTGGATAGTAGAATTAAAGGATTGCAGATTAACAGCTTTGCCCGTCTAAAAGTGAGTGGAAGCTCTCATTAATTCCCTCTTTGGGATCCTAAGAAGTGCATATCCAGAGTCATGTAAAATTAAACGGCCTCGATCCCACCTCAGCTAAAACACACATCTCCTCTCTGCCCACTGGGCCATTTCTTGYAAGTGCTTAGCTCCCCTTTTCTAACAGGCTCATGATTAACTGACTTGACTGACAGTGCTGCYCTTTGACTCGGTCCGTGTTGATACTCTTTTGTAGACTGCCAGCAAGAGGTGTTGTTCTCACTCAGCATTACRCGCTCATCCACACCTCGGGAATACCTTTACTGCTTCACACTGTCTAACCAAAGCTGTGTTTGCACACTTTTCTGTAGCCTYGATCCAAGGTTTTACTGTACAGGGATTAAAGATATTGCAGTTAGTTCCTATTTTTACCTCCACCAAGGGCGAGGTAATGTTTTCGGTCACGTATGTCTGTCTGTCTGTCGATCTGTYTGTGGACAACATTACTCAAAAACTTGTGGACGGATTGTCATGACATTTTTTACCACATGTGGGTACTGGGCCAAGGAACACACCATTAAATTTTGGTGATGTTCCAGGTCACGATGCGGATACAGGAATTTTTTATCTTTTAACACTCTGAGATCGGCAAAGCTGTGATGCTTTCACAGGGCCTCTGTAAAAAAACAGTGAGCTGGATTTGACAGCACAGACTTCAAACTTTATAAAAGTAATGTTAAAACCAGATTTAATGATGAATAATTCTCGCAATAATGTGCACATTTTTACGCATTTGGTGTGCATTTAGAGTGACCATGAAGTACGTGACTGCACCATGAAACCTATTTTTCCCATTTCCTCAAACACACCACATTTCCGAAACAACCAATCAAACCAGTTTCTCGCTACTAGGCTTGTAAACAGAGAGCTGCCGGGCCTCAAAGTTTGGAGACGGGGGGGAGCCAGGAAGCATTTTATAAAGACAGTCAAACCATTACAAACTCATACAAGGGGATAAAACAGACGTTTTACATGGTGAAATGTGACTGATGAAAACTTAGGAGCTTAATCCGACACCAGTTTGACGATGAATAACGTCTGGTGACGAATCTGACTTTTTTCTTTTTTTCACATTGGACTCCACAAAGAAGAAATCCTGTGCATACTGACTGCTTAAATGTTCGCTACGTCACAACTTATTCAGCAAATGTGTTTCCATCTCTGCTTTTGCGCATTAACTCTTACAGGATGGGGGAATTGGTCTTGGCAGAGGTTTGCACTCTCCGAGTGCTTCTAGTTTTATTTTTATTTTTTATTTTTTCCTTTTGCTGACTTGCTTTTCGTTAATGTGACTTACAAACAAACATGCACCTTACTGTCTCTGACATTGTCACTTTGACCACAAGCTCTGACCCAGCAGGTTAAAAACAAAACAAAACACTGGAAACAAGAACAGAGGAAGAAAAGGGCAATAGTTTTTAGAATAACACTAAAACTTTCAATGTTTTTTTCCTTTATATTTCAAGGCCACTGCATATGAATAGTAGACACCTAATGTTTGTATAACAAGCATAAAAAGAAACAAAAAAATACTTTGTAGTCTGGCAGTATTTTTATAGACTTTTGTAAAACCACAACACTGTGTTGTCGATTTTGCGCTGTCGATTTGACTGCAGAGTAGGACACGAGGCCACTTTTATTACTGTAACAAAAAGAGAGGAAATTAAGGTGACAAAAAGGGCAGCTCTCATTCTTTTCTTCTTGTCAGTAAGTCAAAAAAACCAGACGGATGAAACCAGAGGGGAACATAATGTTCATTTTAACCTTGTGCCTGGATATTCACCTCGCATCTATCTGTCTCCCATCGTGGCTGTTGAAGTTTTTGTTTGTTTTTTTCTGTAATTTAAAGCGTATACTGTAATATATTATTAAAGCTCGGTAGTCAGAGCTACGGTCTAGTGATCCTAAGGCTGCAAGTTTCAGCCTGGGTTGTTTCAGGAAGAGCATCCGGTATAAAACAATTACCAACTCTGTCAACACAGCAAGTTCGACCCCTGCAGAAGTGAAGCAGCCAAAAGAAAAAAATCAAACAAACAAAAAAAAAAAAAACTAATATATTTTTACATTTTATGAGAGCATCTTTCTGTGTTTTTATGCAGCCCTATCTGAAGAGTTGGTCCCAGGACCTTGGTGTTCCTATCCTATCAGTGGATTACTCTTTGGCCCCTGAAGCCCCCTTCCCTAGAGCGCTAGAAGAGTGTTTCTACGCCTACTGCTGGGCTCTGAGAAACCACCACCTACTAGGTATGTTCATCACAAACATTTCACATTACAGTATTCTTCTACTGTTTTCATATAATTCTCTAGAGTTTTAATAGCACATTTGTAATTGTTTCCAAATCCGCTCACATCTCGCTAAATTAACATGAAGCATATTAAATTGGATGATGTTGCAGTTATCGTTAATTAGCCTATGCTAAATAAATTGTAATTAAATCTTTTTAACCTGAATTGATCAAATATTATTAACTCAGTTGAATGCTACGCAGTTTGCTGTAAATGTCCTTGAAAAAATGATAAAAGCAGATAATTCAGAAAATTAGAAAATGTTTCAGATTTTTTTTATATATTCACCTTCATCCAAACGGAAACAATAACTGCTTTTTTTATTTGCTTAAATTTATTCCAAATAACCATCCCAAAAATGCTGTTGCGTCGATGTTTACAGTTGAGCTCTTCTGCTGTCAGTGTTTCTCAAGATGCCTCTACAACTAGATTCCTCCCTGATTTGATTTACCAAAGATAATTTGATAAAAACTCTTTGTTCTGTATGAAGTTTCCCAGTCGATGATGCTCGTCATAGTGAAAACAAAACACGAATGTTGGTTTGTTAGATAGGGCTAAAAAGAAAAGAATGAAATGCACATAAAAGCWAATATTCACATTAATTGTGATGCTCTGGAGCTTTTTAGTTTCTAACTCTGAAAAATCACCAACAGATKTTTAATATCACCTTGTTAATAAAGCATGAGTAATCGTAGTGTTAGGATAAGATTACAGAGGGTAATTTATGGTTAACCTGTACAATTGTATGAATAAATAAACAACAAAGTGAAGTGCTTCTCTAAATCCTCAGCTACAGTATATCTGATAATTGTATCTATTGCAAAAACTAATTTATATCACTTGCTTGCTTCTTTCACTTGTTTATATCATCAGTTCAACTAAAAAGCTCACCATTCAGATAAAAATTGGAAACATTTGATCAATATGGGTTGCACCTCTTTATGAAAATTATAATTACAGTGGTATATTAGTGTTGCAAAAGTTTAAATGAAAACTAAAAGAAATCTTTAGTTATTCATTACACAGTACATAATCAGTTTGTTTTTTGCATCTTTTTAGTTTGGAGGAAAGAACGAGCCTTCATTTTGTTTGTTTCTTTATCCTCCCTTCTTTAATTTTCATCTTCTCAGGGTGGACTGGAGAGAAAGTGTGTTTGGCTGGTGACAGCGCGGGAGGAAACTTGTGCGTGACGACATCAATGCGGGCTGCTGCCTTTGGTGTGCGGATGCCAGATGGCATTGTGGCAGCCTATCCAGCTACCTTACTGACGGCCTACGCATCGCCCTCCCGTCTGCTCACGCTTATGGATCCCCTGCTGCCACTCAGCGTGCTTTCCAGGTGTCTCAGTGCCTACGCAGGTAAGACTGCGTTTGTGTGGATTTGTTGACGATATCTTGTTACAAGTTTTTCTTGTGGTCTAAAGTTGAGAGTTGAGTCTTAATTTATTTAGATTGTTTTGTTTTTTTTTCTTTCTTTCAACTGTGCAGGCCATTTATTATCGAAACATAATGTTCGGGATGAAAAGTATCAGTGATGGCAAATATATTTGGTTATTAAAATGTGATAAAGTCTTTTCACAAAGGAGCAATCATTTCCCTAATTGCTAAAGTGTTTTTAAAACCAAATAAAATTGTTTATTTCTGGGCTCATTTTCTTTACCTAAAAGAGGTACTTGTTGTTTCTGTTTTACGAGAGTAGCATTCATCATAAAACTAATCATCTGCTCTCATATCTATTTGTTTCCTCAATTCATTATCTCCTTTCATGGTGTTTAGAGTAAACAGAATTATCTCGTTTTTATGAAAGACAAAAACAGCTGCGATCATTTACACCACTGTGGTGGTAATTCTTTATCAGAACAAATGGTTTGCAGAAAGGTTTATTTAGCTGAAAGACAACATGTAACCTCTTAGCCTTTTAAAAAAACAGCAAATCATTTGAGATGCACAATATTTTATTGTCAATGACACTTGTGGAATGTTGGGAAAAAAGCTTTTTGATTATTTATTTATTTATTTA